CTTGAGTTGTTGTAGTTCCTAATTTTTCACCGTTTGCAGCATTATTATCGTTGTCATTTTGTCTTGGTTTGAATTAAATGCTATTTTTAGCAACTGTTATCGTTTAAATTGTCTTTTCCGTCGTTATTCCAATTCTATTGTGGTTTCAGATGTTGTTGTCGTTTTTCTGGATTGTCGACTCTTGTAATTTCTCTGATTAAGAGTTATTGTCGTTTTGTATTTTTAATGTCGCTCAGTTTTCTTCACGTCAATTGTCCTTCTTTAATGACGTTTCATTTTGTTTATCACCTGTTTATTGATGTCGTTTGGATATTATTGTCGTTTCATGACTTGTTTTAGAGATCTTTTTTTTCCCCTGGTACTGTTGTCGTTTTTCTATCCATTGTCATTTTGATCTGTTTCAATTTGACGTCAATGGGCCTTTTGTTACTGATGTCGTTGTAAGAACGGCATTTAATTCAAATTAACATTAAGGGCAATGACAACAATAATCCAAATGGTTAAGAAAACGACAGAAAAAAAACAAAACAAAAACCAAAATCCTAACCACACCAATCTGGAAAGACAATAATATTGCAGTGCTTTTTTTCTTTTTTTTTTTAAAGGGAGCAAAATATAGGAATGAAAACATAGAATGGCAATTTTTCACTAGTGGATAATTATGCACCTAGACCCCATGTTTTGGCCGTTTGGGGATTTTCTTCCCCTATTTGTTGTAGCCATTTTCGGATTTCAATGAAATCCTTTTCGCTTTCAACAACAAAAGTGGAAAAAAAAAAAAAAAAAAAAACGAAAAGAAATTCATATATTCCTAGTCTAAAACTCCTCACCCAGTACACGCAAACACACACACATACTTCATGTGTTTACTCTTTAATCAGCCCTTCTCTAACACTTAGTTGGAACACTAGCACTTTTTTTGAAGAGAATTAACAGTGTTTGTTCATATCACTGTGGACGTTAAGTGGCCGTGTCGCCAATGTATGAGGGAAAGGGACAAAGTATGTTAAAGGAGTTTAAGAGGATGTTTGGTAGAGGGATTCGTTCCCTGATTCGAATCATGATTCATGGTTCGCTACAGTATTTTCTCTTATAAAAAATTCACGTAAATCGAAAATGGTTCGAATTATATGATTTAAATCCTCCAACCAAACGTACTCTAAGAGTGATTAACATTAATGGTAGTAATAATGATGGTATAAGTTTTGTAATATGTTTGGAAGAGTTTGGTGAGGGAAGAAAGTTTGCTGTGTGCACGCCTTTCTCGCATGAGTTTCATGAGTAGTGTGTGATCAAATACCTGCTTAACATCCCCGACTTACTCACTTTGACGCCTGTCATGTGTGTTGCACGCATAGTCTAACGGTAAATTCACACCTCGACTTTTAATTTTAAAGTTTATAGTGTAAATTCTGGCACCCTAATTTTTTTTCCAACGCTAAAATTTCTTCTTCTTCTTTTTTCTCCCTTGTTTAATGTGAAGTAAGTTACTAAGTACTATTTGTTCTTGCCGGCTACTTTCCAACCTCGAACGTACGACACAAAATTTAAGTACTCAAGCAAGTCAGAAGAGAGTATATATAGGACTTGGTAAAGTTAGTACTAATAATTTGCATAGAATTAAAGATCAAAGCATACCTGATCACTTGCATAATCAAACCATGCCAATGGAGAGAATAAAAGGGATTAGTGAGTGTCACGCTACATTTAATAATTGCAAAAGAAAGGCCTTCTCTCTCATAAGACATCAAATCTGCCATGCACGTTAGTGAGTGTCAGATGAACCCCGGAGTTCCCCCAAACACTTCAGTGGCAAATAATCCACCCCTCAATTAAGAGTTCTTAAGTTTACTTCCGGCCAATGAAGTGGTCAAGGGAACTCTAGGGAACAGCTGACGAATACTACTAATTTATATATATATACATATACATATATATATTTCCTTTTTTGGGTTTTGTTGCGATAATACAAAGCGAACCTGCCCATTTATAGCCTTCATTTTATGCATAAAAACTAGAGGCCTTTCCGATAACAAGGAAAGCCACACAGACTGAGTTGTGAACCTGGTCGGAAATGCGTATAAGGTGCAGGGATAAAGAATAAAATTGTGAAGGTGCATGAGATGTGGTCACTAGTACTACCACTTTTCACTAGTGCCACTTCCCAGTCCTCTTCAATCTTTTTCAGACAACATGTCTCCCTTTATTATTTACTTGTTTTTGGAACCAAATCTTCAATGTCTAGAGGGATTTAGATGGCAGAGAAGCCGATTATCTTAAGCGAAACGCTATCGAAAAGTACTTGACGTGAAGAGGGTGGTCGAGGAATCAATTTGCTGGACAAAAATCTAAGCTGCAGCTGCTAGAAACATGTGGTTTAGAATTGGTTTCAAAATGATTTTATTTTTAATAAAAAGTAAAAAAAAAGATTGTTTTGAGAATCATTCTAGGACCGATTCTGAAATTGCATTTGGTTAGTTTTTTAAGAAATTGTTTTGAGTATAATAAAAAATGAAATCGTATTTATTAATTAATATATTATAATATTGTTGATAAATACTAAAAAGTGAAAATAGAAAAATGAAAATAATTTTTAACTGTTTTCTTATTCTTTTATAAAAATTATTTTTACTGTTTTCATTTTCAAAACATTTTAAACAAATGTCGTTTCGTTTTCATTTTTAGTTTTTACTTCTCGAAATATGTGAAAATCGTTTTAAAAAACGATTCCAAACACGCACATTGATTCTTAATCCTTTTTTCTGTCATCGCAAATGGGTATATACCAGATTCCGTTAAAGATTTGAGCAGCGAGAAAAGATTGAGATGGAAAGGGACAGAAGAGTAGACATGACCGGAGAGAAATAATGCAGAAAAAGGGGGTTAGGCATTGTTGACCAAAAATCAAGATTCCTACTTAGCTTAATTAACTTGTGCAATCTCGCCCATAGATCTGTCCAGGTTCATTTCTGAACCTAGAAATTAAAACTGGCTATGGTCTGTATAAATACATAGAATATATAGGATGGTTTGATAAGAGTGGAAGCCCATCATGTGATCCCTAGAGTTTCACTGAGCACTTCACTGGGGAATCTAATTCTTTTTTATCATGTAAGGTAGGGCTATATATTTGTAGCTTCTCTACTTAAGTGTTTGGGAGAACTCCTGGTGTCATTTGATAATTTATATTAAGCATTTGAGTGCTTGATCAACTAGAAGGCCAAAAATTGTTTGAAAGAATTATTTGTGTGGCAGGCTCTTTTTTTTTTTTTTTTGGTGTAAAAAGCATTGCGACGACCCATAAAGTTCAATTGTCGAAAAATCGACTGGGATGAAAATTCAAGTGTTTAGTAGGCTTATTACTTAACTCAAATTAGTACCTCACCGCTAGGGTTTTTTTTTTTTTTTTTTTTTCCGGAGTACCTTACCACTAGGCTACATGTTGTCACATCAAGTTGAATTCTCGAAAAGTCGACCTTGAGTTTTTATAGTGAAAATTCAAGATTTCTTCCGTTTAGAAAGTATATTTAAATCATAATTCTTAATTTTGACGTTTAAAATTCAAAATTTTCGTGAGAAGAAAACACTATAGCAGAATTAATGATTTAAATTTGACTATATAAAATAAACAAGTCCTAGCCTTTGTGTGACAGGTGTTGGAGCAATTTATATACTAGCATTAAATTTTTTTTATTGGAGATTCGAAGGGGCCATATAAAAGTTGTTCTAAATGCTTTAGTTATATGTGAAACCAAATAACCAGTAGATATATTCCTCTATGAGTTCTTTTCCTTTCTTTTTTCCCTAATTAAAATGTCTTATAAGAGGCTGATTCTTTTATTTGTAGTTGTTTATTCTTGTTTTCATTTATCTATAGCCGCTTTATCCCCCACCGAATTTTAACTTTTTTATGTACATTTCAGTTAAACTTTACCGTCACGTTAATGCGCTTCTTAATCAGTTCCCCGCTCTTTTTATTTCCTTTTTTTTATCATAACTACTTTTTTTTTCATGTACTTCCCCCATTGAACTTTACCCGTCATGTTAATGTGCTTCTTAGCTCTTTTTCTTTTCTTTTTCTATTATTACTTCTTTGTTCGAGTGGGGCTGGTTACTGTAAATCCTCTATAGTTCTGATGAAATTAAACATTAGCCCTCCCACACTCTAAGAACAACATTTGTGATTTTGTTTCCTATTGTACTAAACTGATAAAGAGTTAATACTTGATTAATACCATTGAAATTCTTTGGTTGTGCACTTGTTCGTGCAAGATACTCTTTACACCGAATTTGTAATCTGCTCATTCCAAATGATATAATTCTTTGTCAACAAATTATTAAAAATAAAATTACTAAGATAGTCGTTCTATCTATTCAATTTCCAAAGATTGATAACTTGTGTATCTAAAGAAAAATAGAAAACAAACAAACAAACAAACAAACAAAAGTACATTAATAGTCCCCGTTTTTTGATTTTGGTTCATCTATACTTGTCTTAACAAAAACAAAATGGATTTTGAAAGGTTAAAAAATACCAGTCAACGTGATCCAAAGTTAATAATATTTTAAACCGAAAAGTGTACAAACTCAACCCACTTACAACTTTGATATGCATGGAGTTCAAGTATAAGCGCCAAAATAATACTTTGGAAGATATGAATTAAGTCGCGTCAATCTAGGTGAAAACAATCGCTTTTATATTCTCATTTTCTCTTGTGATAAGAAGAAGAATTGTAACAACTATACACTTTGTTATAATCGACATAAAATGTCTTATTCTCCTAATTAATTTCCTACGAAGTGATTTTCACTTTGTCCACTTCACCAAATCGTCTTTAACAATGTCTAATGGAGTTTCTCACTCTATAATTAACGCACCAATTAGGCATACCAAGATATTTCTCATTCCATATTACGTCTTCACCAAAAACTTCATTCATTTTTGGCTTCTGGGTCTATTAATTTCGCTCGAAATTTTAAGTTTATGATCAAGTTGGGACATGGGAAATTGCTGTTTGAAGAAACAAATTAAAGAGCCCAACCAACCAGTCACCGTGGTTCACCTTTCAACTGGTCTGAAATTGTCATATTAATATGTTTATTTTAAATTTATTTGAAATCATTTATTTATTTATTTATTGACTCGTTGGTTTTGTAAAGGAGGCAGAGTAGTAAGAGTACTTTCTCAGCGCAGCATAACTCGTACCACGTCTCCAAACGGGATACGTATTAGAAGCAAAAAGGTTATTTCAAATGCAGGTACGTATTTTCCTGCATGTCCTTCTTTTTCGGCTGTAACGTTGTGTACAAGGGCGGAGCCACACCTTTTTAAGAGCAGGCGGTTTTGTCCGACCTGAATTTTATTCTTTAATCTTGAATGTATATTTTGTTCTTAAAAATTTATAATTATATCTATCTAGGGACATAATCAAGTTATCACCAGGGAGAACTGGTCCGCCCTTTTAACTTTTTTTTCTTTATCTTTTTTTCCCTATATTTACATAAGAATATCTTTAAAAAAAAAAATTGAACAAAACCCCCTCTAAAAAATTAAAACTATAATTCTATATCCTTTAAATTCTTACTGTAACTATTAATCCCCTCTCACAAAAATTTCTGGCTTCGTCGCTGTATCTATCCACCCTCCATGAAAATCTCAAATTATATGTCTACCTCTCTCACTTAATTTTCTGGCTTTGCCCTGACATTTGATATATTGGCTTGTGATATTCAGTATTAACATTTTTTTTTTCCTTCTTTCCACGTCTTTAGTAACAGCAAAAACTACCCAACATGAAAGAGAAAGACGCAGGTCGCCCCTTCGACCAAGGAATTATGTTTCTTTAAACACACAGATAGGTAAGTCCAAGTCTATTTGGAAATTTTTGAGAAATTGTAGTGAATAGTAAATTTTACTTCTTTTTCATATTAGTAAGTGGTCCAATTTATTGATAATCATGAAAATGACTGGATTTACTTAGTGAATTAATATGAGATTTACCGATTGTTCTAGTAAGTAAATATGAGTTACTTTTTTTATGGGAGTTTCTCTAATAGGGTCACTCTATCTGTAACACCAGTTTATGATCGTTGGATCTGATTAATACCACATTAGATTAAAAATATGCAAAATATATAGTTTTTTGATAGAGATCTAACGGCTAAAAACTTAGACTTTTCGATAGTTATTTTTTCCAAGACCTATTAGAGAAATTCCCTTTTTCGTTCAAAAAAATTCAGCCATTTTCTTTAAATTCTTCTTAAAAATTGGTTATTTCTCCAAATGACTCTTAAATAAAAGTGCCCGTGTCAAATTCTAAATTTAGTAAATATTTGTCCGTAAATTTTCTTGTGAGTTTCTCGTTAGCCCTTTTAAATCTTATATATTCAAATTTGAGGGCAAAACAATAAATTCATATAAAATTAGGTTTTGGTCTAGTAATATTGTTATATCTTCTTGTTAAAGGTTAAAACACAAAAAATAAATAAATAAATAAATAAATGATAAGATACTATTATTGTTCGTGATCTTAAATTTAGAAATTAAAAAACAAAACAAACTTTTTTGAATTCAACAAAAAAAAAAATTTCTCCTCTTTGTCCTAACTCTTGGGCTGGTTCTGTGCATTAGGTGCGGCAAAGCGCGATGATGATAAAAGACATGACAACCCATTAAGTTTAACAACTAGAAATGACACACTTGAGAAAGTACACAAGAAGGATAAAGAAGAATCAAGGCCTCGTGCTCACTCCAAGATCCGCTGCTTTTGCTACGCTGTTCTAAAAGACGCAACCAACAATTTCAGCAGAAAAAACCTCATTGGGGAAGGCGGTTTTGGCGATGTTTACAAAGGGTACGTCACTCATTGCACCATGAGCGCTGCGAAACCAAACGAGGGATTCCCAATTGCCATCAAAAGGCTCATACAACGCCGACCACAGGGCTGTGAAGCTTGGAAGGTAAGGTTTTGATGAGCAAAATCATCCAAAACATAGGTTCCGTTCATTTTATTGATTTAATTTAAAATTCGAGTTTTGTTAAAGTAAAAAGTTTTGAAAAACAATCATATTTATTTTTTTTTCACAGTAAAAAATTATTACATAAAATCATATCTCAACTCGAATTAAAAATTTAAATCAGCGAACTAAACGGCTCAATAATTATCTATCTAATGCGGGACTTTTTGGTTAATATATATGGATGTGATCCTGCAGACTGAAGTGAGGATTTTGAGCCAATTAAATCATCCCAACATAGTGAAGCTGATAGGGTGTTGCAGAGAAGGTAGCCATAGAATGTTGGTATATGAGTACATGGATGAAGGGAGCCTAGACAATTGTCTGTTCAGAGGTAAGAAAAATTGTGACAACCTTCAAAATTGGTCACCACGAAGACTTAAGTTTAGGCAAGACAATGAAAGTGATTGATGCATAAAACAGAAAACCGAAAAGAGCTAAATTGGGGCAGAAGAATCAGAATAGCAGTTGGGGCAGCCAGAGGTTTAGCTTATCTTCACACTAACGAGACGCCGATTATTCACCGCGATATCAAGGCCTCCAACTTCCTGCTGGACTCTGTGAGTTCCTCCCTTTTGAGTGCTTCTGACTAGAATATCATGCATTTGATTGACATATGTACAAAACTTTGTAATGATGTTACTTGTGGAATTAGGTATCCCTTGTTGTTATTAAATGAATTCGGCTAATGTTTTCAGAAATTCCGCGTGAAGATTTCGGATTTTGGCCTGGCAAAATATGGACCAGAGGATGATGATGATCATATTAGCACAAGGGTTATTGGTACTAAAGGCTATTTTGCTCCAGAGTACTTTAAAACAGGTATTCAACTAAAGTATCATTCATGGTAAATAAAATAAAATATAAACTCTTCAAATAACAAATGTTCGCTAACCGTCAGTTTTTCATCCCATTTCGTCGGATATACATGCTGCTGATTTTACTCTGATCCAACATGTACATTATTGGCAATTATTTATCCCCCACAAGTAACTTGTCCTGATTGAGGTTGAAAAAATATGAGGGAAGATCTTTCAGTAGAATTTGATCATAATTCTGTACGTATCTTAAACAGGGCATTTGACAGTGAAGGCAGATGTATACAGCTTCGGAGTGGTACTTTTAGAGATCTTATCCGGTTCTTGTGTGGACAAGAGATGTCCAAAAGGGGTGAGGGGAAATCTTGTGGAGCGAGCAAAGCCCCTACTCTGCAGGGGCAACGTAGAACTGCGCTGCGTCATGGACGACAAACTCGGGAAGAACGTCCCCATGGAAGAAGCTCGCAAGTTTGCCGAACTCACCTACCGATGCCTCAGTGAAGATCCGAACAGAAGACCAACAATGGACGAAGTGCTGACTAGTTTAGAGCAATTACAACAAATTGTTGGTGGCGACAATAATCATCACGACTCCCTCAGTTTTGTTGGATTTAGTGCTTGCCCTCCTCCCTTTTCTAAAAAGGCCTCAAGAAAAAAATGCATGCAAGTAAAGATGCAGAGAGATGATGTCTTAACAGAGCATGGATAAGATGGTTGTGATGTAATGTAACCAAATGCTTTCTGATCAATTCAACGACCAACTTGCAAGTTAAGGTCTCTATCTTCATTTTTATGATTTTGAAAACATTTAAAAAACAAAAAAAAAAAAAAAAAAGAAGAAGAAAGGTTCTCATCATACTGTACTGAACTCACCGACACACTTGTATTTCACAAAATAGTACTTCACAATTGTTTTTTTTTCCTTTTAAATGCCTACCAAATTTATTTTCATACAATTTCAATTTTGATTATTGCAACAGTTCTAGAACTGATGGTTCAAACTTCAAATTCAAAACCACAGAAAAAATGGCAAAACCAAATGGGGTCTAAACTTTTCATCTGATATGCCCTTACAATGCTATTCTACAATGAAATTCAGTCATGGAACCCGAAATGTAGGCTCTTTGGCTGAGGAAAAAGAGATCATAAATGTCCACACACCCCAATTCGGAGCTGATTTCAAAATCTACTAAGACCACATATAGAACGGAAAAGAGGGCTAAATGGAAGCTAATGTACACAGCTCACCCAAAGTAAAAACAGAATACAAAATTTAGCTTAACTATTCACACAGGTACATTAAACAAGCAGATAACCACTATCCGAGAGCTACAAAGCTCCATGAAAATGGATGGCTAAATAACCTGTTCAAGCAAAATTCAAAATTTTGTCGAGATGCTTGCCCACACTCCATTTTATGTAAACAATATGGAAGCAAATGAGAATTTACAGATTGAATGCTCAATTCAATGCACTCTTTGAGACTGCCGATTGGGTCGCAACGGGGATGCACCTGGTGGGGGATTCAAAGTGCGGTGTTGCCGCATTGGGGACCGCCGAGGAGTAAGTGAAGCTGTCTGCTGCTCTAGTTGGGGATGAGTTGCACTTCTGGGGGACTCGAGCTGTTCTAATGCTGCTAATACGTCCGCCATTTTTGGCCTGGTTTTAGCTTCATTGTTTAGGCACTGCATAGCGAGAGTGGCAGCTGTGAAAGCTCCTTTCTGAGGATATTGCCCCTCCAACTTGGTGTCCATGATCCGAAACAACTTTCTTTTGTCACCCAAATATGGCTTTGCCCAGTCTACTAAATTCTGCTCAATACCAACTTTTGTTTTGTCCACGGCACGTCGTCCTGACAATAGTTCCAGTAGTACAACCCCGAAACTATACACGTCGCTTTTGGCGGTTAGACGACCTGTTCAATAAACAAAACTGATGTAAGTAACAGATAGTGGAACTGAAAATCAATAATCGTGTATAACAATGCAAAAACTCCAGAAGCTTTCAAGGCAAAAAAGAAAAATTGAAACAGACCTGTGGCAACATACTCGGGAGCTGCATACCCATGAGTACCCATGACCTGAGTTGACACGTGAGTCTTGTCACCCGTGGGACCTGCCTTTGCCAAACCAAAGTCGGAAAGCTTTGCATTGAAGTCCTATATCAAAAACATGAAATTGATGTAAGCAACTACCCCAATTCAACATATAAGCCAACAAAAATATTTCCAAATTCAACGTTTAAGAATTACAACAAACTGTTATTCACTTGACATACCGCGTCTAATAAAATATTTGAAGCTTTAAAATCTCGATATATGACTTGTTGTTTGGCCTCGTGAAGAAAACTAAGCCCTCTGGCAGCACCAATGGCCACTTTCATCCTCACTGCCCATGAAAGCGGTTGTGGCCCCCCTGTTAAGCCAAACATAATAGCTGGAATGAGAAAGAAAGTTCTTAAAGCCACGGCAACAACTTATTTGCAGTCCAAGTTGCGACCTTACTTCATCGTAACAGAAGGCATTAGCACCAGAAGACAGAGAGATGTTAAAAGTGAATTATCATATTTTAGCCAGAGTGGAGTACGCATCTGACCTGTGGGAGTACGTAATTTTGCAAAGCAATCTAATTTCGAAATTAAAGAGCATGAGGACCTGGACAATGTTTCGGGAACTATACTATAGTTGTAGCTATGAGGTAAAATAATGTCTCCTAAAAAGTTAGTTCTAGCGCACAACTTACTTCTAAAGAGATGATTCTCTAGGCTGCCCTTCGGCATGAACTCATAGACCAAAAGCCGGTTCTCTCCCTCTAAGCAGTAGCCTATAAGTTTAACCAGATTTGGATGATGAAGCTGGCCGAGATAATTTACTTCTGTCTGAAATCGAGAGACCATAAGTGAAAAGCTCAGGGATAAGATTTCAAAAGATAAAAAAAAATAAAGACAAATAAAAAATAAAAAAGAAACACACACTTGAAAAAGGATAAGAAGGATAAGAAGCATACCAACCACTCCTTGTGGCCTTGGTAACCTTCAGGCTTAAGCTTCTTAACAGCAACAACCATGCCCGAACCAGGCTTTGCAGCTGTTAATGTGTGCTCATCGATCCATCCCTTGAAAACATAGCCGAAACCACCTTCCCCAAGAAGACTGTCGGGGCGGAAATTTCTGGTCGCATTTTTCAGCTCGTTAAACGAGAAGGCTTTCAGATTAGGAGATGACAATATTTCACCTTCGGTCCTCGGTGTAGGAAGACTTGAAGTGTTGCTTGTTGCACTAAACGATGAGACGGTCAGTGTGGAAGGAGCTGAAGAACGGCTAGTCCTGCTTGAATATTTTGAAACCCCTGATGCTGACAAAGAGAAAAATGGAGGGTCATTTAACAACGAATTGATTTACTTAAAAAATAAATAATAAAAAAAATAAAAGCAGCTCTTCTCCTTAGAAAATTGGAAGTCAATAAATCTCACACCACATTCCCATTGAAAGCTATTTTAAGTGTCACATATTCTACAAACCTTAGTGGAAGTTTTGTTTCTTTTGCAAAATTAGTTTTTATAAATGGCACGCTCAATATTTTGTTCTTTTTTTTTTGGTTCTGTTTCAAAAGGACCACGTACAATGAACAAAGAGTAATTTAATATCATCAACCATCTTTGACCCCGGAACTTTTCAAATTATCACAATATGCTTTATATGCATAAATGATCTCAAGGACCACGTAATCAATTAATGCTCGTTACGGAAGGAATCATTATTAGGTGAACAATTAAAACACACTTTAAAATCAAACACTAACAAAAAATTACAAATTCAGTATTTTGAAGAGAAAAAAAGTTGTAAGAGAAATAAGAAAAATCGGATCTTTTTAGCGAACACAGATAAAATCACAAAGTCAATTATAAAGTGTCTAATTAACAATTACACAAATCCACCATCCACAGATTTACCCCCTTTACGCAGATAAAAAGCAATATAAATAAAGAATGTCCTAATTCAACAACTATGGCATACAAGCAGATAAAAAGAAATTCCCACCTCAATAACTCTAGAAAATTGATGAAACATCATTTTTTACACAAACCGTGAATACCCAGAAAGATAAATAAGTTAATTATGAGCTTTAAGCATTTAACCCCAGTCACCCAAAAACCCCAGAAAGAAAATCGAACTTCACCATTCTAATTCAATCCCAGCTCAGCTCTGGAACCAACTTTATATACCATAAAACTGAAGCATTTATTATGAGAAAGACAAAAAACAAAATAAAATAAAATAAAATAAAAAACAAAAGAATTATTCACCAGAAGTAACGTGGGAGCTGTGGGCGGTATCAACTTTCGCAGAAGAACCAAGACAATTACCCATCGACACCTTCTTCTTTTCCCAAAAACTTAAGAACGCAATTGGGTTCTGTTTGTGAACCCAATTAACAATACAAATCTGAAACTCGAGAAGAAATGAAAGACTAGTTCTGGATTTTACGTGCGGGGTTTGGCTTCGAAGGTGACTTCGGAGAAAGTAAGTTGAGAGAGAAAGAGAGAGGAGAGAGGAGAGAGAGAGAAAGAGAGAGGAGAGAGAGAGAGAGAGAGAGTTAATCCATTTGGGCAGAGAGAATTTGTTTAGAATAAAGAAAAGAGGAGCAAGGAAGCAAAGAAAGAGGTGGGAAAGGAAACAGAGAAGAAAGTAGTTTTTTTTTTTTTTTTCCAGAGAAAGTCTTCTTTTCTGTTTTGTTTTCTGTGTTCTGGTCTTTGCCAAATTGCTCTGGCTTAATGTGACGACAAAAACGCGTGGCGTTTCTATCGCCCATGACGTGTGCACCATTGTACATTCTCTTTAATACCCCTCCTCCTCAATGTTCACTGTCAACCTACCACATGACGATGAGGACACCAACTTCTGATCCAACTTTCAATTTACATGGCAATGTTTTTATTATTAATTAATGTTATAATTTTTTAAATAATTATCAATCAAAAAAGTCATATCAAAATTGATGCAATAAGTCAGGAAGGATTTAAGTTGGTTTTTCCAGTATTATTTTGAGCAGTTTTACACAAAATATCTATCAAATTTAGTACGGTGTGATTTGGTTCGTAAATTTAAATCTCAATTTAAAATTTTTTTATTATAATATTTTTTTCTCGTAAAATTTAACTTTATATTTAGTTCTACGGTTGGAGTACTGTCAATCAATTTTGATATAATTTTAGTATAATCTAATTTTAGTACTAAAATTATATAAAATTAAGGCCCGTTCAGTTTGTTAATTTGAGTTTTTAATTTGAATTGAGATGTGATGTTGTGTGAGAATTTTTTACTGTAATAAAAAAATTAGATGTGACTGTTTCTGAAAACTTTTTATTATAACAAAACTCGAATTCTAAATTTAAATAAGTGAAAAGTAGTATTACAAAAATCTGTCGATGTCCTACATCCTTTTTATGTATTCTTTTTATGTATTGAGCTCAAAAAGAAAGATGTTTTACACATATAAATTTGTGGTCAAGTTGCGCATTAAAAAGTTAAATTAAATGTCTAAGATTTTTTAGTTTAGTATCACGCATTTGAGTGGGGTAAAATTTTAAGTGAGGAGTTACGGGTCAATATCGTATTGCATAAAAAAAATTAAAATTAAATAAAATATATTTGATAAGTGTCAAACTATTAAACATGTATGAAAATACCTAAAAAGTGTTTTTTTTTTTTTTAAATTCAAATTCAAATCGAGAATAAGGACTACATCCGAGATTAGCTTATCAAGTGATTTAGGATAATTCCAATATTTATTAATTTTTTGTATTTTAGCTTAGAAGGGGATAAATAGGCAATTCGACCACAAGCAAAATCCTAATTGACATTTTACACTACAAAAAATCATGTATATGTCCTCTATTTTCCCCTCGTAGTGAACCTCAATGATTAAAGCTGGCATAGCTCAACTTTGCCCCTATAAATCTTTGATGATCTTTTTTCTACATTTTTTCTGCCCAATTCCAGGGAGGTCATTAAGGAGTTCATCTTGTTGAGCTAGTTTTCACCAATATTAAAATAGAACTGAAATTGAATATTAAAATAGATCTAAAATTGCTAAAGATTAAGCTTACAAGACGAAGCATATTCAACATGCTTTGTTTCTTGTTTAAAAAAGGTAAATCTCTTTTTAATAAGGTGTGGCATGAAAGTATGAAAGATATGGTTAATCTTATAAATAGTCTATGAGATTTTTTATCACATTTTTGTTTCTAACTTTTAAAACATCTTATAGTTGGTTCCTGAAATTTTGTTTTATTTTAGTTTTGGTCATTCTGTTAGCTAGCTAGGTACTAAATATTTAAAGGAATCGGTGAAAATTGAATACTGAAATTAAAAACATCTAAAGTTTAGGGACTAAAATAATACAAAAAACAAAGTTAATTTTCACATATAATCTTTAAATTTAACTGTTTTCAATTTTAGTCCATAATTTACATAAATTTCATCAAATATTCAACACTCACTTAAAGGAAAGACTGAAACTGAAACATAATAAAATTTCAGGGACTAATTGTGAGACATTTTAAAAATTATGGATCAAATTAGAACTAAGAAAAAACTTTAAAGACCATTTGTAGAATTAACCTAAAAGATACTCTTTTAGTAAGAAAAGGTAGTGTGGGATAAAAGATACTCTTCGGAGAAGACAATTTTAAAAGGTGTGATTATATATGAAACTTGATGAAAACGAAAAAAGAGATAAATATTCCTTTAAATAGTACCTTTTTGATATTTAATCCACTCATAATGGAGTCGTATGATGCGGAATTCTCACGTACGGAAAAATATTGACCCATCAATTTATAGTCAAATAACTATATCAATTGAAATATATAATCAAAAGTGAATGGTAAAAATCTAAAGCCTGAAAATGTTTTAGAACTGTGCCTTATTAATAGTGTATTTTTTATACTACTTCAAAATTTTCCTAAAAAATTGTTAAAGAAGCCAATGAAATTCATAATATAAAAAAAAATAAGGGATTTCAACTTCAGTTGATGATTTTTTTTTGGGGGGCAAAGTTTAACCTTCATGTGTAATGACTGAGAAAATTCCAGACTTTAAATAATACAATTTATTTATTTAAGCCAAGGATTTTCCTAGAAAATATTATGTGACTGAAGGATTTATGGAATCAATAGATGTATTCCTAAATTCTGTAGCAGATTTCATGTTAAGTTCATGTTTTCGATCAAGTAAATTCGATCGATAAATTCTTGCCGTACTTTAAGGCGGAATAATTTTCAGTACAAGTATAGTTTGAGAATCTTAATTTCAAGAATCTCCAAACACAGCATGATGTTAGCAGCGTAAAAAAAAAACGCACTGACATTTTTAAAAAAAGAGAAAATCCTTAATTGCCAGACAGCTAGGTTAAAGTCAGAAGATAAATACCCATAGTAGAATGGTATAATGTGAACTCGGGAGTTGACACCGTCAGAAACAACGTCATTTCTGAAAATTAACGCAGGATAGTTAAATTTAGAATTTGTTCAGTCTAGAATTAATTTCAAGACTGTAAACAGTTCAAGATATTACGCGAATAAGAATTTAATGTGATATCCAAAGCAGTCAAGGATTTAACATTTAACTGTAAATAAGCAGTAGAAAAAGGAACCGTCAGAAATGGGAACGAATTCCTGTTAGTTAAGTTACTCTCTTATAGTCAGTATAATTTTTATCAGTTTCTAAGGGAAACTTAAGAAAGTGGACAAGAGTACAATGGGGTAGGTGAGATTTTTTTTTCTCTCCCTTCCTCCTTGGCCGGCCATGCATGAAAAAATAGAGCCAAACCTTTGGCTAGTGGAGTGTGCTAGAGGACTTTATGTTAAGGTGATGTGATGTTAGTGGTTGAAGGGGAATTAATGGCAAAGTTGCTTCTTCTTTTCTCCTTCCAAAACCGGCCAAGAAAGGGGGATTTGAACCAAAAATTTGGTTGAATGATGGAGTGGAATTGGTGTTAAAAAAAATAATTTCCAAGTGCCTATAAAAGGAACCAACATAGGATAAGCTTCATTTTTTTTCTCCTAGCTTTTTCCCCACTCAAAAAATCCGGCCACACACTCTCCATTTCCTCTCAAATATTTTCTCCCACTCTCCAAAACTTGAGCCCCTAGCACACCATAGAAGAAGAAGAAGGAGATTAAGGGATTCTAGGAGGAGACTAGTCAAGCATTCCTCTAAGGGTAAAGAAACTCTAAATCCTCTCTTTTTCATGTTTTGGGAAAGTTTGAAATAGAGAAATATTCTTCTCAAATTTCCTTATACTCTTATAGTTTCAAGCCATTAACAATCCTAGAGGAGTTCAAGGGTTTTTCAAGAGAAAGAGAGAATTCTTCAAGGGTAAGTTCTTAAACTCCCCTCCATTAATTTCTAGCCAACTTTAAGCTTGGATTTATGGATGTAAATTTGTGGTTCTTGAAGAGATAAGATTGTAATAAGAGTGTGTGAGTTTTATGTTGGTTTTGTGAGTTTTGAGCTTAGTTTGATGTGGTATGTTTATGCTTAATCTAAGTTGCTTATTTTCGGATTAGAGGAAAAATTTTCCGGTGACTTTGACCGCGAAAATGAGGACCATAGAGCGAGAGTTTTTAATGTTTTAAAGCTTGAACTTATAGCCCTGGATGTTTTGAACATTTTCGGTTACTATGACAAAACCTAATTTTAACTCTAAAACCAAGTTTGAAGCCATTTGGCAAAAACGGACAAGCTGTCCAACACAGTTTCGAAAAAAAAACTGGCAGCCACTGGTTCAGCCAAACGGGACCCTTAGAAGCTGAATCTCGATTTTTCACAAAAGTGACAATTTTATATTTCGACGAGATGAAGAAATTTGATGAAGAAAAGATTTTCAAAATCCGACCCTAAGAGGTACTAAAACACAGATTCCCGAAACGGCACAGTTTTTGACTAAAACAGTTTCAAGAAAAACAACAGCTACGGCTTTCAGCCAAACGGGGCCTTTAGAGGCCGAGATGAGAAGCTATACGGCTCAACTCCAACATAATTGCTCTGATATAGCTGGCTCTTTTAGGCACTTGGATATTTCCCAACAACTCCGGTCCATTTATGGTTATTGCTTCTGTGAACATAGTAGCTAAATAATCCCAACGCGTTACATAAGGCAGATATTGTATAATTGTTCGGTTTTCCGCAATTTTTTCCATTCCTCGGTGTAAATAGCCTAATATTGGTTCACAGTCAATAACATCTTCACCATCGAGAGTAACGATGAGTCGAAGAACACCATGCATTGATGGGTGGTGGGGACCCATATTTACTATCATGAGGTCTTTTCTTGGAGCTGGTATATTCATAGGTTTTTCTTTTTCCTCGATTGATTCTTTCATGAATTACTGAAAAGCGAAAATAAGTTCATTAAAATAAAAAAAAATCAAGATCTAATAAATCAAATAATTCAATAATTCAAAACGCTTCCTCAAATTCAAATTAACGCATTTTTGATTCCCGAATATCTAACTGATTAATTAATTCTTTATAACGTATTCTATTGTTCTTTGACAAATAAGACAGCATCCTTTGGCGTTTTCCCAAAATTTTACGGAGGCCTCTCTGAGATAAATAGTCTTTTCTGTGCAATTCCAAATGTGAAGAAAGTTTTCGTATCCTATTAGTGAGGCTTAGTATTTGAAATGTAACAG